CAGAACTGCCTAACAGGTTAAATGGAAAAAATGAATGCTAGAGAAACAAGGATATATCCTAAATATTTTGCTCCTGAAATTGGGTAATGCTGTTTACTCAAATGAGAAAGATTAGGTGATCAATATGTTTGGGTGGGAGGGGAATAAAGGTTATCTTTGAACTATTTAAAGTTTGTGATTCCTATTAGATATTCTAGATCTAAGCAAAGAAGTTAAGTAAGCAGCTAAATATTCAAGTTTGGAGCTCAGGGGAGAAATTGGAATTGTTGACATTAATTCAGTTGTCATCAGAATGCAGTTATTTCAGAGGAAAATGCAGAATAGAAGGGTATCAAAAGTTCTGGGTTTCTATTTTTTTTTTTATATCACAAATTCACATTTTGCAATCTTGGCTTCTCTTGGGCATAAGGTTCCTTTAAAAAATAAGGGTTTTAAGAATGTTATTAGAAATTTTTCAACTCTGGCATTTTATATCTATATGATTTCCACTCGTAAGTTACTGTTTTGTGTCAAGAAACGTTTCTTTTACAAACCGTTAAGGAATTCTGCCCTTGGAAAAAGAGCATTTCACCATTTGGCCTTCTTGCCAAGTGATCCCAACATTATTCATTCTGGCTTTTCTCTCCCCTGTGTTTCCTCTAGTACATCAGAAGTACAGCTGAAGCCAGAGGAGCTTACTGGAACAAATTGTATTGTTTCTGTATCGCAGGCTGAAAATTGTTATATACACTGTTATATGTGTATCTGTGTCAGTGAAGTTGTAAATACTGACCACATTTGATTCATAGAATAAATGATGTGATTTCTGGGTACTTCACTGGCCTCAGAAATGCATTAAGAAACCAGATTTTAGAGGTTTTCTGTTATAATGTACAAATGATATATCCTGTGAAAACTTTTTGTTAGTATTTGTTACACTTTTCTTTGACTTGCTATCTGTGGGAAATTATATTCTAGTAAATTAACACTCAGTTTGTCTGGTCTTTGGCTGCAATAGTAACATCAGTCTCTTACTTTCAAAGATGCTGCGATGTTTGCGTTGTTTCCTTTCTTAAAGGTTTCACCTTCACTGATACTTATTAATATCTTATTTAAATAGCTACTAGATTTGACATCATTGCAGCAGCCATTGACCTTAACAAGAGATTTTGGTCCAATGCTATGGATGAAAGTCTAGTTTCCATGGATTCTAAAGAGCATAGGAAAAGAGAAATGACAGTGAAGAGAGATAAGTCAAGGTGATTTATTGTGAAGGGAGGTCTATAATGATGGGGGCAGGGAGAAGGTCAAGGGAAGTTTCCCTTCAGATGGATGATATGGCTGAAACTGTGCAAATGAGAACAACAACAACAGAGAGAGGACATGTGTGATGGAGGACAGGGCGGATGGGACCCAGGGCACAAGCCGAAGAGTTGACCAAGATAGGTGTGCAGAGGTTTCCTTCACTGTAACAGCAGGAAGGGAGGATGGGACAGCTTGGTAAATGCAGTGGTTGCAGGATGCTGAGTTTCTCTTCTGATGCTTCTGTCTTCTCAATGAAGAACACACGCATCAGCAGTAAGGAGAATGTGGGGATGTTAGAGGTTTGAGGAGAGGGAAGGTAGTATGAAATAGTCATTGAAAGGGTGAGAGTGAATTAACCTGAGAAATGGGGTAGGATAGCCAGGCAGCTCTGAAGGCCCATCACAGGGTGTGGTCATGAATTTAAAGAGAAACACTCAGCACAATTGTAATTTGTTTATCTGTATCCTAATTCTTCAGTTGATTGAGTTTGGCAGAGATTTGGTGTTAACTAAAGTTGAAAGTCTTACTTGTCCAGTAGAACCCATATTGAGAAGTGCAGGAGAGTTGAAAGTAATATGAAAGCAGTGAGTTTTAACAATGAGGTACAGAACCTAGTCACGCAAGGAGGGGAGTGGGTAAATGGATCTGGGGGGACGCCTGGGCAGTAAGAATGGGGCTTGGGCAGCTCACTTGAGGTGAGGAATGGTTGGGTCAGAATATTCTGAGAATGAGCCAGAAGAAAGGAATGATGTTGAGATTGAGATTTAAGGGAGTGTACAGTTACTGATAACAACCAAGTCCCTGGTGAGATCAGGATGGTGGGAGCTGCAGTAGAGAGGAAGACGAGACCATTAGAGGATAGGAGACCAAGACACTGAGAGGCCATGTAGGAGCTAGGAATAGGAAGAAGAACAGCAATAAAACGAAAAAAAAAAAGCCTTTTTATTTGGTGGGTGATGTTTGTAGCTTCTTCTTGGTTATTGAATACTCCCTGCAATGTCAGACACCCAGAAGCTGGCTAAGGTTCACAGTCACCCTGCGGTAAGCAAGGACTTCTGACAGCATTTTCTGGACACTGGCCACGTGCTCTCTGGCTAAGCTTTCACCAGTGGTCCACAGTTCTATCCCATTGCCACTCATTCCATCTAGTTTCTTCTGCTGTCCTCAAGAAGCTGTTATTGGCAGGAACTTTTGAACACCTCTCTGAGGCATATGCTTGACTCGCATGTGTCCTTGGGCTACTAGAGCCGATGAGCAGACTCCCATGAACTTCTCCAGCTATACTGTGATAGTGAGAGGCAGAGTGCAGCTAAGTGAGCATCTGTTCAAAAGACAAATTGTCATCACTCTTCTTGCAGATAGTTTGTTTGAGGGGCTCTTTCAGTCTTACACATCTCTATTCAGATAAACCTCTTATCCCCACAAGATTCTCTAACCTGCAGGACTAACTGATGGTCTCTCTCTCTCTGAACATTGAGTGGGTGTGTGCCACCCCATGTCCTTATTCCTGGTGTCCCTGCCAAAACTGGGACTTTTTCTTTGAGATCTTACTTGTTTTCCATGTTTGTGTATGTTCTTTCTTTAACAGCCAATTAAATGGGATCCTACTATTGTATTGTCTCTTTTCTCCAGAATCTCAGCAGTGTGCAAAGTATTATGTATTTAAAACATGAAGAGCTGATTTGTGTTCAGAAGTGGGACAAAAGTCCTACAGATAGTTTCCTATTACTGACTGCCCAGGAACAAAAGATGTGAGGTTGAAGAAATTAAATTTGCTTTCTTCATTTTGATATGAGGTTTGACTGGCATATGTTAGCTTAGCTTAATCATATTTGACTTAGGTGTGGTGATATTTAGATCATATATATGGTTTATCCAAAGTTATATTTATTTTTCTAGATTTTTACTCTCCACTCAAATATATTGCATATTGTGTCACTCTCTTCAACATCATCTTTCAGCATTTTCCTCTGGTTGTCAAACTCCACTAGGCTTTCTGTGACTCAGATGCGCTGGGCTCCTTTTCCAATCCAGTGTTCCCATGTGCTTTGCCGTGTGCCAGAAATGCTCCCCACCCTTATTTGCACCCCTACCTCCCACCCCTCACACATGTAACTCCTTTCCATCCTTCCTCCTTCACGCATCAACCTACACACAACACTTCCTCAGCGAAACTGCCTTAAAGATCTCCATTCCCACTCCTATGTTAACCAGTATGTGCTCTTGTAACACCTTGTGTTTTCATTCTTTTTTAAAGCATTTATTATACTTGAAAATAAAATAAATTTATCTATTTGATGTCTTTTTAAGATACTAACTATAAACTTCATGAGGACAGAACAATGGCTATTTTCCCAGTGCTTTATATGGTGTTTTGAACATAGTTGGCACTTAATAAATATTTGTTGAACAAATGAATGAAAACTCCTAAAAATGTCTGCCTACAGTGCAAATGAAGGCTTTTGTCAGTGTGCTCAAGGCCATCTGAGGTGGTGTGGACTGAAGGAAAGTCTATAAGCCTAAAGAGGTTGAGGTGCCCCTCAAAGTCTGAGTACTTATGTATTCAAACTTCAAAAAGTGTTTAATTTTTAAAACCTGGTAAGGTGTGAGTGGGAAGTCAACTTGAATTTTACGTAGAAAAATCTATATTCATGGTTTTGGTGGTGGTATTATGAGTGTGATGCTAGTGATGATAATTGGCATGTTGCTTACGCAGGCACTGACTTAGCAGAAAACTCTAACCACTCTTGAAAACAGTTCGAGATCTACAGATGGTCAGTCAATAGGACCATTGTGAAATATAACAAAAGGCCTATGTGAGACAAAATCTTCTTGACACTTTTCCCTCATTTATTAAGCTTTTTTGCTATGCTATTTTTTTTTGCTATTGCTTGTTTTTCTTTTTAATCATTAAGCAGTTAATTCATATGGTTCTGAAGAGTCAGTTCAATTTAATTTATAAAATAAAAAAGGTCTAAATAACAATTTTCAAATTAAAAGATGATTCCCTATTTCTTTCCTATTATATAATTTCTATTTGGATCTGTTCATAAAACACTTCTGTGTTCTCAAATTTTTTTTTTTTTTTACAAATCTGCACCTAATTTTGAAAGCTCAAAATTTCAAAATGGATAATTCTGAATCTTGCAAATATGTATAAGAAGGTGCTTTGTGCTTTATCATTTGACTGCAATTTCACTGTATAGGTATGGGAGAATTAGATAGACAAGAAGGACTATTAGCATTTGTGTTTCTGGCTTTTATGGTGTTTAGCATTTGTTGAAAAATGAGATTGAGAAAGTTTTATTCCTCCTTTTTCTTTTCTGAGAAAAATAATGTTTTGAGATTCATTTGGATTAACTTGACTCAGTAAAACCTGTCCTTTTGAAAGTTTCATGGTTTCCATGTATAAAATGTGTTCACCTTTTTCTCCATCATTTTTTAATTACATTAAAGAACGATCCATTAAAAAAAAAAAAAGTAAAGACTCCATTCCATACTTACCACACCAATTGAATATGGAAATGATGGGACCGTTTCAGATTTAGTATTATTACTGAGGAAGCTTTTTGCATAGAAGTTCATTCTGAAATCGATATTCAGTGATTAGAAATCAGAGTGTACTGACGTAGAGTTATTGGAAATCAAAGTATAATTTGCTTCTCTGTTACCATCAAGAACTACTGAATTTTGAACCCCTGAACACTCTCTTCTAGCTGCTTTCGAAATCTATTGAACAACTGAAGCAACCAGGCAGTCACCTTGAGGAAGCAGAGGAAGAGCTTCAAGGGGACCAAGCGATGCAGGAAGACAGAGCGCCCTCTAGTGGCAACAGCACTAGGAGCGACAGCAGTGCTTGTGTGGATGACACACTGGGACAAGTTGGGGCTGTGAAGGTCAAGGAGGAACCAGTGGACAGTGATGAAGATGCTCAGATCCAGGAAATGGAATCTGGGGAGCAGGCTGCTTTTATGCAACAGGTAATAGGCAAAGATTTAGCTCCAGGATTTGTAATTAAAGTCATTATCTGAACATGAAATGCATTGCAGGTTTTGATAAATGGTCTATCAGTTTATATCTCTGGATGATTTGATTTCAGTGTTTAAGGATTCTAACTGATGCAGATATATGCATATATCTATAAAGAGATCTCCATGTATACTGATCTCTATATAGATACCAAGGTTTCCTTGAAAATCCACTGGTAAGGAAATACCTGTTACACTAAAATTATGCTACATAATGTTCAAGTAATTAATAGGCTTTAAATTCAACCCAAAGCCTGCTACACCAATTACTTCTAGGGAAAATGAACTCACTGTTATTTTTAGTTTAATGTGTTGAGATCGGTGACTGCTGGAAATAGTCTCCCAGTCTGATCAATGAAGCATCTATTAGTTTTTGATTTTTTTGAACATGTAGAATTCAGTTTTCACATCACTGTACATAATGTATCATACTATAGTCTTGAACACTGTTAAAGGTAGTCTGCCCCTTCTTTCCTCTCTCTTTTTTGTTAAGTAGAAATGTTCTGGTTACCGTGCCAGTAGCCCTAGGTTATTGTGTAGGTTGCAATTGAAAATATTAGGAACACAGGTGGTTTTAAAAATATAGATGCAAATTGCAGCACTATTTTAAATATTACATTATGTCTCACATAGCACTGCTCATTTTACTTTTCTCTTGTATAGTTTGATGACATTGTCTATCACAAAAGATCAAATGAAGCAGATGCAAATGTTGGTGAGAAGTAATGTGCAGCATTATGGTCCAATCAGATGTGATATTGTATCTATAGTTGCAGAAAACACAGTAACAATATGATTATTATCTGATATCAAGTCAAAATCAGTTTTTAAAAGAAAAGGTGTATCATATTATATATTGTCACTAGAATCTCTTACTCATAATTCCGTAATGACATGGGCATATACCATACTATTTTGGCAAATAAAAAATTAGGAAAGCTAGGTTTGACAAAAGAATTTATTTGTACATAGTGCACCTTCAGAAGGACTGTGTCCTTTGATGCTATAAAATACAAACAACTTTGAAGGCCACAGAAGACAATGTTTATTTAAGTCAGTTCTTTGTCAGGTTCCTGCTGTTCTCCTACAGAAAAGTGATTCTGTGAGGCTGAACAGGAAATGCCTTGTGGAAACAGGAAGTCCAAGTGATTCATGTACTGAGGAATGTAGGAAAAAAAAATCTGAGGATAGTGTTTTACTCTTTCTGTTTTTAAAAGGCACTCTATGAATTGATTTATTGTCTAAGAAAATAACACCACAAGTAGGGAAATTGTTACGGAAGCTTTTCACTGGAACATTTCCTTCATAGTCCCTTTTGATATGTTTACCTTGTTTTATAGGTTTACTTTTGTTAAGCTAGTTAAAGGTTCATTGTATTAAGACCCCTTTAATATGGATAATCCAAATTGACCTAGAATCTTTGTGAGATTTTTTCTATTAAAATATTTATATTTCTAAATCCGAGGTATTTTAAGGTGTAGTATCCTGTTTCAAAGGAGATATAGCAGTTTTGCCAAATGTAGACATTGTTCAACTGTATGTTATTGGCACGTGTTGTTTACATTTTGCTGTGACATTTAAAAATATTTCTTTAAAAATGTTACTGCTAAAGATACATTATCCTTTTTTAAAAAGACTCCATTCAAATTAAATTAACATAACTAGAAGTTAGAAAGTTTAAAACTTTTCCATATAATGAAAGTCCTTCTGATAATTTGACAAATAGCTATAATAGGCAACACTCCCTATCACCAACATATTTTGGTTAGTATATTCCTTCATATTAAAATGACTTTTTGTCAGTTGTTTTGCATTAAAAACATGGCATGCCTAAGATAAAATTGTATATTTTTTCCATCTCATAAATATTCATTTTCTTCAAAGTCTTTTTTCAATCTCACAAAAAAAGGGATAGTGCATCTTTTAAAATACATTTTATTTGGGGAGGAACATGTGGCTGAGCAGACTTTTGTATAATATTACTTCAAAGATATGTAATCACAAACAAAAAAAAACCTATTTTTTATAATGTCATTTGAGAGAGCTTCATCAGTACAGTTGGTGGACGTTAATTGTTTGAATTTGATAGTCTTTGAATTTAATCAAGAAACTACCTGGAACCAGTGAAAAGGAAAGCTGGACTTAAATAATCTTAGAATTAATTGATAAATGTCTCTTTTAAAATCTACTGTATTTATTATAATTTACACCCTTGAAGGTGATCTCTTGTTTTGTGTTGTAAATATATTGTTTGTATGTTTTCCCTTCTTGCCTTCTGTTATAAGTCTCTTCCTTTCTCAAATAAAGTTTTTTTTAAAAGATCCCCTTTCATACATTTGGCTTTGTGTAAATATTTAATTGAATTTGAAGCTTGTACACTAGGTCTCATATATCAAAATATATTGCCATTCTTTGTTGAAACAAGAAAATAAAGATATTTTGATCAGTTACATTTAATACCATTAAAACTAATAAATCCAACAATAATGACTTTAAACCATTTATATCAGCAATTATCAGATAGCTAACACATGTAAAATCTGTTGTATTTTCCTTTTTCCAGTGTGACCTTTTTCATGATATGTTATCATCTTTGGTATTTAAATTAAAATGTCAACTTCTAAATATAAAACTTTATATAAATAGATGTCAGTTCCTAACTTTGCTCAACTTAAAAAAATATTTTTAAAAAGTTTAACATAATCCCTTGAATATAACAAGCTCTCATTAAATATTAAAATGAATAATTTTCCAAGCATTCTAATAATTATGTCTATTATAGTGAAATCCTGAAGTACAAGTATAAAGAGACAGTACATAAATTTAAAGAGAAAACAGTAACTAAATGATGTCCCCCTATATGGTAACAATTATTGTAATAGTATTGGGAAGAACAAGGAGTTTGACTCAGGTAAAGGGAACTGTACCATACATATCACGTGGGCCATGAGGTGTACCTTACTCTCTTCTGATCCGTTCTAGCAAAACTTAGTCAATAGTTCATAATGTGTTACCGTGGTTGGTTCAATAGGTTAAATGTAATTTTTCAATTTCCTTTGATTTACTTAATCTAACTCCAATAGTTTAGATTAAATGGTAAAAGGGTGACATGATTTTTTTTCCAAGAGCAGAATTCCTTAGTGGATTGTAAAAAAAAAAAAAAAAAAATATTTCTTGACAAGTTAAAGTTACTCTAAGTCACATCAGTATTGCATTAGAATGTTAAGAAATCTGGAGCTATAATTATTGCCTACAACAGAATGGGTTATCATTCCATAATGGCATAAATTTGATAATTTCATCAGAATTCTGGAAAAACCATGAATGCTAGTCATAATTTCCTGAATTTTACTTTTGGATGATAAAATTGCAAGATTAACTCGGTACTAGAGATCTTAAAAGAAGAGTTAGAGGGATTAATTAAATGATGGTTTATCGTGTATATCTGATTTCTGAAGGGTTATATAAAGTGACTGTTTTAATAAAAAAGCATCTTTAGAGACCTTTTCTTTACAAAAACATAGCTTTTGCCAAGGCTTGGAATAGATAACCATTAGATTTCTTCTGGCAGCGAAAAGCCACCTTCTCATTGGTGAAAGTGGTTGTTGAAGTGTAGACTGACTGCTACTTTTCATAGATCTGAGAAAGATAGTCTTTAAGAAATTTTATATTGTTTCATGCTCCTTTTTTCGAAAAGATGTTAAAAAGGGATTCAAATACTAAACATCTTTTGAAACCTAGTACTTAACAGATATATAGATAGACAACATAGCATTGTTTCTAATTTGGCATTTCTTTGTGGTTTTTTCATTAACTGAAGCATACAATTGTATTAATAAATAACTATAGTAAGTATAAATTGCGGGTGTACAATTGAGGGTTCATGGTAATAAATAATTGAGGTTTAGAATTGTAATCAATTATAGTCAGGAACTTAAAGGTACAATAGAAGGAGTTTAATACTTATTCCCTTTGTTATTGGTAATTCCTTCATCTTGGGTTTAAGGAGAAAGTATACAAGGGCAATCAAAGAATTTAGGCAGATAAAAAGGATATCCAGTATGTGACTTCTCTGTCATGCTATGGTCATATCTGTTGAGACTTCAAAAGGTTTCTACTTTCGCTGTTACATCTCATTTTATAATACCTTTTTTGAGACTTATAAGCTGTGTTTAGACAATGCAAATTTTTAGGGTCATCTTGATTTGCAAAAAGACTTTTAACTATTGCCAACATATAATGCACCAGTTATTGTTGCAAGCACTTCATATCTATTAGCTCATTTAGTCCTCCCAACAACCTGATGAGAGAAGTACTGTTATCACCCCATTGTAGAGATGAGAGCACTAAGGCACAGAGAAGTCAAGGTCACCCAGTTAGCTGCAGTCTAGCTCTAATTTGAACCCAGGCATTCTGACACCAGAGTCCTTGTTCTCAACATTTACCATTGCACTGTGTGTGTGCAACAATTCTTTTTACATGCCCAATATGCTTACTTCTGTGCAATTTATTCAGTTGTTACTACCTACTCTCTCCTTCCCCCTCTCGCTTGCTCGCTCTCTCTTTCTCTCTCTCTCTCCCCCCCATTAGCATTTACCAAACTGTTTTGAATCAATTATCTCTTTTTAATCACTGCCATAAATTATGAGATCAGGACTCTTGTTTTTTCCCCTAATTCACAAATTGAGGGATCTAATTCTGGCACACATTGCATTCAGGCATTTTTAATCTTGAAAATATGTGGCTTTCTTTTTTCTAGCCAGAGCTAGTCCTGGAAGGAAGTGAAACAGAGTGACTGCACTTGGGGTTAACTGGATTTCAGCCCGTTCACAGCTCTCCTATACTTCTTGCCTTCATTCCCCAACCCGGGCAAAGAGAGTCCAATTTTTAAGTAGTCATGATGCTGCCTTTTTAAAAACTTTTAAACCTACTGGAGATGTGCTTGATAATCA